GTGACCAAACATAGGCCCCCCGGCAGGGAGGTGGGCGCAATCAGCAGGGATTGCTTTTCACCTGCTCCTCCAAACACGTTGCTTGAACCCTGCGAGCAAATTAAGCCTAGCCCGATGCTGGCAGTTCTCCACGGCATGGCAATTTCATGTTATGGGCTCATGGTACGAGATGCACGATTTATGGTTTAGGTGCACAGTTGCCCGTAGAGGCTGTTGTATGGAAAAGTGTTGTTGCCTTCTGCGATGTAGTTGATCACACAAAGGGCTGATATTACCCAATGCAAATCCAGCCCAGCTGCTTGTGTTTCTAATTCTAAAGTGAGGGAAAACCAGCAAAACTGCTTTATGTTTCCATCTGATGGCCACCAGCCAGCTAAAAATAGATATTTTTCAAAACTATGCATTTAATCCAGTTGTGCCAAGTAACTATTCCTTGTTTTCCCATGTCCAAACATCTTGAACTAGGAAGAAGACTGATTTTGAGCCTGAACCTCTCAGTTTGAGGCTACCTCTATAAATAATTGGTTTAATGTAATTTTAATGAATGGCCATAAATCAGTTCTGTTACCCCCCTCCCAAGCTTGGCTGATAACACTGACGGAAAGGTCACGGTTTCGGGTTTTGTGGCAATCATTTCCACAGTTCCAATAATCAGATACATCTGTGGGTCTCGAGTTACCCGATAATGCTGCACAAAGAATAGGGTCACTGCTGAAAGTTCAGCTCCAAAGACGGGCCCGTGATGGTCAACTTCAGCGAGCTGGAAGATGTGATCCTGTGGAAGGGAGACCCCCAGAGACCTGGGAGAAGGAGCGGTAAGGTTTAGATCAGTCAGTGTAACTCCACTTAAAGTGGCATAAACATGCAGTCTGTAGGCCCTCAAAAGATAAGGAAGTTATGAGGTGAGAAACAACACCTTGGGTCATGCTTGGAGATCAGTTACAAATTCTGCATCGCTTATACTGACAAAGAACTTGGGGGCTCAGCACAATCACATTTGTGGGGAATTTTAATTAAAAATGGGACAATGAAGGGAGCACATGCTTGCAGTAGGGCATGAGCTGAAGGACACGGCCACGCCAATGTGAAAGAGGCAGATGATACTCAGCGGTGTGTACGTGGGTCACAAAGTCATCCTTCCCTTCTCACCAGGGGTGAGGATCCACCTTGCACCTTGTGGCCACTTCTTCGCACTGGAGGAGATGACCCGGGGAAGCTGCACAGTCTCTGCAAGCAGACATTTGTCAGGGCAGGCTGGGCAGACACCTGTCGGGATGTTCGTGAAGGCAATAAACTTTATAAGCTTTAATAATAAAAATAAACCAAACAAACTTTATTCAGCCCGTGTCTTCAGTTCGTACGTGCGATTGCTGTCTAGGTGTAATGGCCACCAGCATATTCTCTTGCATCCGTGACACTGGAGACACAGTCTATCCTGCCATTTGTAAAACTCAGCCTGGATTTAATTTAGTTCATCTGGGTAGCAGACACCCCATATAAATACACAAACTCATATTTAGCCTGTGTTTGCAGCATGGCTGTAAAATACCCAAGAAATCCAAGCTTGTTCTGGGATTACTGTCATGCTTGTTTGTTTTGGCACAAGATTTTGGGGTCTGGAAAAGAAGGATGGGTAGTGCGGGGGTGGACCTGATTTAAAAATATATGCATCTTCTGCAGACCTTGTAAGGTAGCCAGTGTGAGCTGACTATAGCTAGGGCCAGAGAGAGGTGGGTTGGTTTTTTTTTGGAGGGAGGAGGATTTGGTTTGTTTAACAAGAGCTTCAGCCCCTGATTCTGCAGGGGCTCGGTTACACAGGAGCATGTCACAGAGCGCAAGGCCCCACTTGGCTTACATTTGCAGGTTGAGCCCCTAAATCTCTCCAACAGGCTCAGGATGGGGAGGAAAAGATCCCCTCGGCTTGCACAGCCCTGCGTATTCACAGTGGCTGCCCCCTACCCATGCTGATTTTCACTTAGGGCTCGGCACTGTGTCAGCCAGGCCCTCACTAAATGCAAAGAGACAAAAGTTTTAGTGCAAGCTGCGCAAGTCTTGGGCTCGTTCCACTTGGGTGTGTTAGGAAGTTTCCATACAAAGCGCATTTGTGGGTATTGTATTTTCTTTTAATGTATCTGGTAGCACTCGGAGATTTATAATATGCACCAGGCTTTGCCATTATTGCTAAACCACAGGCGCTGTTTTTTCTCAAAGTGGCTCTTTTTCCCTCCTCCTCAGTCACTATTTCTGAGGGCAAATCAGAATGCTATTTTTGGTTTTCTTTTCTCTTTAAGACATATCTAAACTCCACCCAAAGCAATTTGTTGTGATTTCAGAGAGAAGAAAGATGATGCTCATGAAGCTCATTTTGACAATGCACAATGTGACCGAAAAATTGCTGAGAGAGAAGTCAAATCCAGCAGTATTCAAATTATTATCCAAAAGAGACTACTCTGCTAAAAGGAAAGCTTCTTCCTGTATCATTCTTCACCTCTCTCCAAACCTCCAGTGAAATGAAGTCTCTTGCTGTGTGCACAGCAGGCAGCAGAATCCTTCTGCGATTTCATTCTCTGCAAAACCCATCATTTCTTTCAATGTGAGAAACTTAACCAACTTAACCTCTTCTGCAGGCCATCTTCCCTGCTGGAACCGCTTCTTCCTTCTCTGTGCAAATAATATTCTCATTTTCCTTCTGCACTGACCTGATTTTACTAACTTTGTTACTTGCATTCCTACTTCAGCTCTTAAAAACTGTGACAACACTGTAAGAACTAAAACGTGTAGCGTGGTATTACCATCTTTTACTGTTAATAAACAAAAATTATTATTTTGCCTTTCCCTATTCAGGGCAGGCTCAACTAATCCATTCTCCTCCTTTACTCTCCTGCCCACGTGCTCACTAAAGGAACAAACCTTGATGCCTTCTGCATAGCCCCCTTTAACATCTTAATTCTGGTTTCAAGTCTCTCTTCTTAAATCCCTTTTCAATCCCACTCTGGCCCCGCTTCCCTGAGTGATGTATTTTAAGGTGCACAGATAACTCAGTCTGCCTGATTTTAATCCAGCACCTTTACACCAGCTCTGCCACGGGCGTCCTCGTTTTGAACAAAGAACCGAAACGTGGCATACCTGTCACACTGAGAAAGGCATCCCACATACGGATTTTATTTGACTTTTGGGACAGCTTCATGACAGATTTGGATATAGAAATCATAGACACTGGCACCTTTAAGGAGCCAGAGATAATTAACGGTGAAAACAAAGGAGTAATCAGTGTTAATAAATGCCTCAGCCAAATGTGATTAGAAGAGTAAGGCTGACGTACATTTACTGCTGATTTCCAACACTATTAGGTAAAATGGATCAGGTTATTAATTTGAGATGAATATGAGATGTTTTTCCAGCAATATCAAAAATGAGATGCTTTGCCAGAATAAAGCAAGAAATTGCTATTTGCAGGCACTTGGGATGGAGACACAGCTTTCCTGGTTAATTTTGGTTAGGAGCAAGCAACTCTGGCACTTCACTTGGTGTAGGGTTTGTCTGGCAACTCCAACAGATGCTGAAGACCTTTCAGGAACCAAATCCCCAGCTTTCTGAAGCTGTTGATCTGTGATCCTCAAACACTGTACAAGAAATTCAGCCTGCACTGACTCCCCTGAACTCATCTGTTTGGCTTGGGTCGGACTGGGGAGCTTTCCGCTAGAAAGGAAACTTTGTTTGTGCTGATAAATAATAATCTGGGGAAGAAACCACAAACAAAAACAAAGAAAAGAGAGAGAGAGAGAGGAAGAAATACTCTTTTCTTTTTCTTTTCTTTCTTTCTTTCTTTTCTTTTCTTTTCTTTTCTTTTCTTTTCTTTTCTTTTCTTTTCTTTTCTTTTCTTTTCTTTTCTTTTCTTTTCTTTTCTTTTCTTTTCTTTCTTTTCTTTTCTTTTCTTTTCTTTTCTTTTCTTTTCTTTTCTTTTCTTTTCTTTTCTTTTCTTTTCTTTTCTTTTCTTTTCTTTTCTTTTCTTTTCTTTTCTTTTCTTTTCTTTTCTTTTCTTTTCTTTTCTTTTCTTTTCCCCCTCCTGCAATACACATGCAGCCATTAGGGCACTTAAGCTGGGCGTTACAGGCTCTCCTTTTTCAATGGGAGTTAGGACCGGGGTGGCACCATAGGACCCCACAACACCTTAGGGCCGGGGTAAGGATACTGACCTCAATGCCTCGGGCACACAGAGGCCAGCAGCTCCTCTGTGGGCAACAGGTGCGGATTTTGTGAGCGTATTTTTGTCATCGGGGGCATAAATGCCCTGTGGTGGAGCTATAGGAACGCAGCAGGGGTATGTGCATGTGTGCTCCGTGATGGTCTCAGCCTTGGAGAGTGAAAATCCTCAGCCGGCTTTGTAAGGTTGAGATGAAGTGGTCACCACAAGAAAAGAGCAGGGAAAAAAGAAAAAAATAAAATATAAATAAATAATAATAATAAAAAGGTTTCTGGACCGTATCTGGAAACAAGACCGCGGAAATAGATAAATAAAGAGTCGTGTTTCAGCGCTCGTTTCTGAGGGGAGCTTGGCCAGGGATTTTGGCAGGGGTGCCCGAGCAGCTGCTCCAGCTAAAATCCCGATTGTGCGGGTCTCAGGGGCCAAGGGCTGATGGATCGCGCATCCTTCGTGCGCCGAAACCCAGCTCCGGAGCGGGGAGACCCCGCCAGGAGAAGGGGGACGGGGAAAGGAGGGGAGCGGGGTCTGCTCGCAAAACCCCCTGGGGACAAGGAACGATCGGGGCTTCAGACCTGACCCCCCCAAGTATGAAAGGCCGAGGTTTGGGGATCTATTTTTGTCCGGCCGCCAACAAAACCCGAGGTCTCTCTTTCCAGCGAGGGGCTAAAAATACCGCCCTTCTCCCCCCAGCGCCGCCGCCTCTCGCTGCGGCTGCCGGGGGCAGGGGACGGGGACTTTGGGGGGGGGGGGGAAGGGGACAAAACCCGGGCAGGCTGCGGGACCCCGGGGCGGGCGGCAGCGGGGCGGCCCTAGAGCGGGGGGAAAGCGGGGGAAACCCTCGTTTTAGCGCTCGGGGGGCCGGGCGAGCCCCCGCCTCGCCTCCCTGCCCGCCCCGCCGAGGGGAGGGGGCCGGGGAGGGCGGCCCGGCCGCCCGCCCCCTCGGGCCACTGCCGCGCCCCGCCGGTACCCAGCATGGACGCGGCTTCGGGACGGGGCCCCGGGCCGGAGGAGGCGGCCGGGAAAGGGAAAGAGGAGGAGGAGGAGGAGGAGGAAGAGGCGGCGGTGTACGTGGAGGTGTGCGGCTCGGCCCGGAGGCAGGGAGCGGAGAGCGGAGCCCGAGGGAGCGGGGATGCGGGCGGCGGCGCGGCGGGCAGGGCTGCGGGGGCAGCATCCCCCGAGGGGACGGGCACCCCGCCGCATCGCCCCCAGCGCCAGCACCCGGCAGGATGCGGCTCCGGCTCCGGGGGGGCGGCCGGGACCCCCGACGGCTGTCCGGAGCCTTCCTCCACCTCCACCTCCTCCTCCTCCTCCTCGTCTTCCTGCCCCTCGCCGGGCAGCAAGGCGGGCGGCCGTGCCTCCGAGGGGGAGCCGGCTGCGGCGGAGGGCAAAGCCTCCTCCTCCTCCTCCCTCGGGTACGAAAGCGAGGAGGGGGAGGCCGTGGCCGGCCGCCCCCCCGGGGCGCCCCCCGTCGGGGGGGACGAGGCGCACTACATCAGCACGCGGGAGATCCAGCTGAGCGAGGTGGACCACGACATGGACTTCGACGCCGGGCTGGCCGCCCGCTGGGACTTCGAGGACGACAACGTGATCTACTCCTTCGTGGACTACGCCTCCTTCGGCAGCGCCGAGACGCCCGGGGAGACGCCGACGGAGGAGGACAATAGCTGCTACCTCAGCACGACCACCAGCGAGCCCAACAACCCGACGGACAGCGCCAGCGCCGCCGAGATCGCCAGCAGCCGCTCGGAAAACGATACCCCCGGCGGGGACAAGTGCGACGGCTCGGAGGGGAGCCGGCCCCGGCGGCCGGGCGGCCCGGCAGAGAGCCCCGCGGGCCAGCTTCTCCTATCAATCAAAGCCGCTTCCCGGGCTATAAATGAGCCTAGCAACGGGCAGGAAAAGCAAAACGCCGTCCACGCTGCCAAGCATGAAGGCGACATGAGCCTCCGTGTCCCCACCGCCCCTGAACGCGAGGCGAGCCGCGGGCAGGACGCCGGCCACCAGCACCACCAGCACCACCAGCAGCACCACCAGCACAACCAGCAGCACCAGCAGCAGGCGAAGAAATTCATCGCGGTGCCGGCTCGGCTGCAGAGCGGCTGCGGGGCCGTGAGGGCGAAGGAGGTGGGCGAGTACTCGAGCGGTGCCTCCAGCGCCGTCAGCGAGCTGGACGATGCCGACAAGGAGGTGCGGACCCTGACGGCCAGGGCTTTCCGCAGCCTGGCGTACCCTTACTTCGACGCCCTCGCCCTCGCCTCCCGAGCCTCCTCCGCCTCGCTGCCCGACCATGCGCTGGGCTCCAGCCGCTGGTCCACCTACCTGGACCTCAAATGCGGCAGCCTGGGGCCGAGGGCCGAGCCCGGCCTGCCGCAGCTCTGCCTCCGCTCCGGCAAGGCTCAGCCCAAAGCCCTGGAGTTCGTGGTCAGCAAGCTGGACGGCGAGATCGCTCACGTCGAGGCTCCGCCGCGGGTGCTGAGCCTGCTGCAGCCGCCGGGCTCCGGCGCTGCCCCCCGGGCCGCCGCCGCCGCCGCCGTGCCCCCCGCCCCCGAGGCTGGCGGCGGGGACCCCCCGCGCAGGGACCCCCCGCATCCGTCGCTGGAGGGGACGAGCAAGAAGTCGCAGTTCGCCTCCAGCCTCCTCAAGAACGTCATCTCCAAGAAGATGCAGCTGGAGCACGAGTTCAAGATGGAGCGCGGGGAGATCTCCGACACCTCCTCGGCGGCGACGGACCGGGACCGGGACCGAGACCGGGACCGGGACCGGGACCGGCCTCGGGAGGGCGGCGTGCAGCGGCAGAGCTCCCGGCACTCGGAGGGGGGCTCGGAGCCGGGCGTGCAGGCGGCCGAGGAGGCAGCGGAGGGCGGCGGGGGAAGGTCGCCGGCATCCAAAGCCTCGACGCCCCGAGAAGGGAGCCGCAGCCTCGACAGGGAGGAGCCCCGCGAGGCTCGGCGGGGAGGCTCGGAGGCGGCCAGGGCCACCACCTTCCTCCGCAGCCACAACAGCGCCTTCAGGACCTGGAAGGAGCGGGAGGCGGAGAAGAAGGAGGAGCGGGCGCCCGTCGGAGGGCACAAGCCGTCCCCGCGCCGCGACCCCCCCGGCGGCAGGGCCACCAAAACGTCCCGTCTCTTCGTCCCCGCCGTCCAGCCTGCCGCCGGCCCGGAGCCCAAGGAGCCCGGTGGCCCGGGGGGGGTCTCCGCCTCGCCCCCCGCTGCCAAACCCCGCGGCGCCGAGCTGCAGATCAGCCTGGGGGGCCGAGATCCTCCCTTCCCCATCGCCGAGCTGCTCACGCCGCAGCTGGGGGGCCGCCCCGTCGAGGAGAGCCGGGGCCAGCCGCCCAAAGCGCCCAAGGGCGACGGTGCCGAGCGGGTGCCGCAGTTCCTGGTGCGAGACGTGCGGGAGGGCAAGGGCAAAAGCCAGGGCCCCCTGCACCAGGTGCGGGACGTGCGGAAGCTGATCAAAAGCTCCTACAGCGGCGACTCCGGGGATAACAGCAGCGACAAGGGCAGCGTCGCCTCCGACCAGGGGGGCGCGGAGCACAAGCCGAGGCAGCTGGTCATCGCGGGCATCCCCCGAGCCCTGTCCCCCGTGGTCATCACCTGCCAGGCGCTGGGACACGCCGGGGCCAAGGCCACCGACGGCGGGGGCAAGGCGGCGGTGACAGGGGGGGGCCGGGCGCTGGGCTGCCCGCCGGAGGGCACCGTCCTGGTGCACCGCACGTCGGGGCGGCTGCCGGTGGCCACCATCGCCCCCAACAAGAGCGACCCCCGGCAGCCGGCCGTGCTGAAGATCGTCGCCAAGGCCGGGGCGCCCTGGCGGCACCAGCAGCCCCCCGGGGCCGCCGATAAGAGCCGGGGGCCGGCGGCGTCGGGGGGAGGAGGCAGCGGCGGCGGCGGCGAGGAAGACCCCCGGGAAGAAGGGAAGGCAGCGCCGGTGCAAAACGCGCTGGAGAAGCTGACGGCGGCGGTGCGCAGCATGGAGGAGCTGTACAGCTTCAGCAAGCGCGAGTGGAAGCGCAAGAGCGACCCGCTGCCCATCACCGGCAGCCACGTCCTGTCCCTCATCGCCAGCCAGGAGCGCGACGCCGGCCCCCGGCCGCCCCCCGCCCCGGAGCCGCCCCCTAAGGCGGAGGAGCCGCCGCCGCCCCCCAAGGGCCCGGCCCCGACGGTCACCGAGCGCCTGCCCCGCCGCCCCGCCAACCCCGCCGCCGTCTCCGACAAGGTGTCGGCCAAGGCGGCCGCCTTCGAGAGCCTGGCCCGGCAGCGGCAGCGCGGCCCCGCTCCCCCCCGAGCCCTCCTCGCCCTCCGCGGCCCCGCCGCCGCCTCCGCCGCCGCCCCTCCGCCGGCCAAGGCTCCCCCCGACGTGGGGCTGCGGGGCCCGGCGGCGGCGCCGCGCTCCCTGCTCCGCCTGCCCGCTGCCGGCACCGAGGGGAGGCCGTCGGGGGAGCCCGAGCACGGCCCGGACTGCGGCAGCTACCTGGCGCTGCCCCTCAAGGCACCCACCGCCACCACCGCCCCCTCGACGGCACCCAGCGGCGGCCGCCCCTCCGCCGTGTCCTCGGTGGCGGCGGCGGCCGCGCTGCGGAGCCTGCAGCCCTTCGGCTCCTCCAAGCCCACGGGTGGCCCCGGTGGCTCGGCCGCCTCCACCGAGGCTTCCCCCACCGCCACCGCCGCCGCCGCCGTCGCCACCGCAGCCCCGGCGGCCGTCGAGGCTCCCCCAGCCGCCCTCTTCCCTCCGCCGCTGCCGCCCTTCGCCGCGCCGCCGCCGCAGCTGCTCTGCTTCTCGCCCTCCGTGCCCGCCGCCGAGCCCCTGCCGCAGCGCAGGGTGCTGCTGGACGTGAGCAGCGGGCAGTACTACCTGCTGGACGCCGCCCCGCAGCAGCCCCCCAAGCGGCGCCTCTTCGACCCCGAGACGGGGCAGTACGTCGAGGTGCCGGTGCCCGCGCCCGCCGTCGCCCCGCTGCCGCTGCCGCTGCCGCCCTTGGCCCTCAACGCCGGCGCCTACGGCACGGCCTACATGCTCTACCCCGGCCTGCTGCCCGCCGCCGCCGTGCTGCCCGCTGCCGCCCTGCCGCGCCCGCTCTCCCACCCGGGCAGCGATGGCAGCACGGCTGCCGAGCCCGGCAGCCCGGCGGTGGAGGCCGAGGGGCCTTATTTCGTGCCCGGTGGCGATGGCCCGGCTGCTGCCTCGACGGCGGCCTCGACGGTGGCGGCCAAGCCGCTGATCAGCATCACGGCGCCCGCCGGCGGCCCGCGGCTCGTGGCGCCGCCGTCCTTCGACGGCACGACCATGCGGCTGGTGGTGGAGCACCGGTAGGCGGCGGGGAGGGGGCCCACGGGGGTCCCCAGAGGAGGCCGGGGGCGAAGCGGTGCCCACACAGCAGCTGGATTGTGCCCGCGGCCCCTTCTCGTCTTCCCCTGCGTGCAGCGTTGCCATTCAGCTGCGTAACGCCCTTCTCCTGCGGCGGGTTTGTTTCTGCATTTCTGTCTTTCTTTCCGCTCCTGTATTTCACCCCGTATTGTATTTCATCTCTGCCTTCCTTGCTTGTTTTCCTCCTTTCCCACATCTTCCCTCACACACCGCGCTGCCGTGCCAGGGACTCGTCCCTCTCGGCCTTCGTCACCGGCTGGCTTTTGGCAGCACGGTTCTTGCCTGGGTCTCCTGCCACCCTTTTCCTTTCAGACAGAGGAAAACCAAAGAAAAAAAACAAAGAAACAAACAAAAAGATGCTGATTTCCAGCTGTAGCAGAACGTACAGCCCGCATTCACAGCCAGCTCAGCGAAGCAGCAGGCCAGGTTTAGCCGGAGTGGGGACCGGTCTGTGGGGAACTGCAGGGAGCTGAGGAGCATCTCACACCTGAGCGCTGGGATGGGCTCTGCCGACAGCACAGGGCGGCCTGAGCACGCACGGAACAGAGCTGGGGTGCTGCTGCTTCGTTCTCGGCACTAGCTTAGGAAATGAGCAGCAAGAGCATCGTGGCAGAGCAGGAGATGCTGTGCGCTTCTCTGGAGGAGTGAGGGTTGGTTAAACGTTTGTGGCAGCTCTCAAAAAATCAACTTTTTATTAGTGACCCTTGAATGTAATATTTTTAGACCCCGGTTCTAAAGAAGACAGCATTTATTTTTCTTTAAGACTGCAGCCTTTTCTGCAAAAACTGATGATTTTGCTGCCAGCAACTAGTTTGTCTCAATAAAAGAGAATTATTAACACGAGGGTGAAACTAAACTACACCAGTGTGTTCCTTGCCCCAAATTTCAGTTCAGAGAAGCCCGTAAATGTAAGATCAAACCTAAATTGTTTTACATAACGCTTTCTTGAGGTTGAAATTTCAAGATATTAATGCAAATCCTAAAAGTCTGTACTTGAGGGTTTGCCACTTGGGAGGTTTTCCTGCACCCGTTTCTAAATCCTTCCTGCATATCCACCAGGTCTGCCTCACACACCTTCGGAGATTTCCTGGTATTTCAGCCATGCTGATCTATTTTACCTGGCAAAGTGTTTTTTTCTACATTCAATTTTCTCACTGATGGAAGCTGGATTTCTGAGTGTGAAGGCTTCGCTGCGACTTTTTTTTTTTTTCATGTTTTCATTGCTGTTTTATAAACTTCGTGATAAATTTCCAAGTTGTTTTTTAAGACCCCCATAGGCTGCCTTTTTTATTCTTTGAGGTGAGGTGTCCAAATCAAAAGGGGATACATGTGTAGGTCATTAAATAAGATCTTTCCCAGATACTTGTACAGCAAAGGGGAAAAATGCATTGAAGCAATCAGAACCCCGAATTTCTGCTGCAATAATAGCGAGGTTTCTGTGAATGTGCATTTTATTTTATTTTATTTTTTCCACACAGAGGAGAAAAATAACCTGCTTGCTGCTAAGGAAGTTTCAGGGTTTTCTCTTTTTAAAGAAAACCCAAGATTTTCATTTCCATGAGTAACTTGCAAGATAGAGGGAAATCAGCTGCGACTGATATTTGTCTTCATATTTGTGAGGTTTTGTTTCAAGGGAGTTCATTTGTCCACAGGCACAAACTGGAATTGCCCTCAGGATGAAATGCCCTGCAAGTATAAAGTTAGCTAGTGATTTAACATATATCTGCTCATTTGTCCTCATCACTGTGCAAATTTAATGCAAAAAAAAAAAAACATCCTGATCCTTTCTAAGAGCTTGAAGTGCCCAGCTCGAGCACCCAGCGTGTCAGCTTGACCCCCTGCTCCTCGGTCGCGTGGTTCGCAGTCGCAGCCTTCACTTTCTGCTGGGATTCTGGCTGAAAGCCTCGTAAAGAAAACGAATGCTGCTTCACTGTTTTCATGACCCAGTCATTCTGTACTCATTACAATTAGAGCATCAGCGTTAAGCAGAGCGGTGCTTGGGACTGCAGGGGATAGCAGTGCGCGCGGTACGTTCGCTACAACGCCAGCATCTGTCTTCAGACAACATTTGCCTCCTGTCTCTTCCTGTATCGGTGCTCGGAGCGAGGTTTCACGTTGCAGTTTACAAGATACAGGTTTTGCACGCACAAACTCAGGGTTTACAGTTCCACCCGGTGGACTTGAAAGGAAAAAAAAAAATGCCTAGAAAACAAGTGCCCAGGGTTTCAAGACGTGTTTGTTGGAGGAAGATTTTGTAGGGACTTTGTTATTGTTGTTTTTTAGCTGCCTGTAGAGATGAGAGCAATGAAACGAGGCGATACCAACAGCTATTTATTTTCTCAGGGGAGGTTTCTTCAGGGGAGCGCGTCACTTCTCATGTCAAACCATGTTTGCCTGGCTGTGTCGATGACTGAACAGACCCCATGTTTGCAAGGAGCTGAGCTTCCCAGGCCCAGTCCAGCGAAGCCCTCGCACTCACCCCAATTTCATCCACCCACGGGGATTTCTGGGGGCCCTGGTGGCTGCCCACCGGTGCAACGCTTCGCTGAACTTGGCCCAGGGCTTGGGTACCCAAACACCCGGGTGAGAGCAGCCAAAATTCACCCCCTGCGCTCAGCAGGGCAAATCCTGCCCGCCCCTCGAGCTCCAGGTCTGCATCTCCCCAAATTTTAGGTCGGCATCGGTTTAAGTGACGTGGCGGGACGGGAGGGATGCGTGAGTGTTGTTCCGGCCCTTTGCAGCGGGGCCGGTTTCACTTGGGTAAAATTACTCCTTGGTGAATGATTTAAAATGTATTTATGGGTTGTGTGTGTGTGTGTGTGCGCGTGTTTTTTTTTTCCTGTCTGCATTCAGAGGTGCCTTTACTATCTAGTGTTGATGGCCAAGTGTCATTCCTTATTCTCATAAATTACTTGTGGCTACCCCGGAACACATACAGTATTTTAAAAATGCTTGTGTTTTTTCCCTTTTTTTCTGTTTTTTTTTTTTTTTTTTTTTTTCTTTTTTTCTTTTTTTCTTTTTTTTTTTTTTTTTTTTTTTTTTTCTTTTCACCCTGTTTAAGGGGGTGGCTTATCAGTGTAAAGACATTTAAAAGTGCACGTGTGAAGTAAGGACAGTGACTGTGGAGGGCATGTGGGTGGTGTGGCTGATGGGAGAGCGGTGGGGTATGAGGCAAACAGGAAAATGCCGTGAAAGCAGTGCGTGGAAAAAAGAGAAAAAAAAAAAAGTTATATAATTGGAGAAAAACGGACTCTTTGAGCTGCTTTCAACATCGATGACACTGTGGGGAGTGTGCAGCTGGAGCCTGGAGTGGTCCCACTGTGAGGAGACCGCGTGGCTCCAAGAATTGCACTTGGTGCTGCGTGACGCTGGGATCGTGTGAGAGCAGGCTGGTTGGGACTGCTGGATGCCAAAGGTTGTAGCGGGACGAGTAAGCATTTGTATTAGTGGGTGGGGTTTGTTTCTGTTTTGTTTTGTGTTGTTGGTTTTTTTTTTTTTTTGAATGTTATGACAAATAAAATGTATTTTTCAGTAAAAGACACACTGCAAGTAAGCCTGCTTGGTCATGTTTTTTGCAGAGTTTCCCTTCCTGCTGTATGGAACAATAATGACAGCGACGTTACCTACCTGAACACATAAATGATAAAACAGAAAAGACTTCAGTGCAGAGGGAATGCAAAGCCTCACACTGAGTCTCCCCGAGTCTGTTTCTGACCTGACCTCACTCCGTTTGCTCAACCCTTTGGGGACAAGGGGAAGCCAGGGACATTGCTTCATTTGATTTTTATTCTTTTCCCAAATATAAATTCAATTCAAAGGGAAATTCATGGTTCCAATGCAGTAACTTTCACTGGTATATTGGGCTGGGCGTCCAAGGAACTGTGTCTTTGTTGTGGTCTCTTGGGACAGCAGTTGGTAAAGCAAACAATTCTTTCTTTTTCTGGTCATCCTCTTTGCTATTTTCCTTGTCTTATATTGCCATATGATCAACAATAAGATCACTTCATTGCTAGAGAGCAGTATTGCTTGAATTTTTGCCAGGAAAAGCCCTTTGCTGCTTTAATGTGTTGCTTTTACCCCTGCAGAGAATGAGTAGCTCTCTGATGTTAAGCCTTAATGCTTAAAAAAGCATGAGTTAAACACCAACAATTCACAAAAGGGACTTGAAAATTTTCAGATTACTCCTTCAGTTTAAAAGAATCCTTCCTCTTCTCAGTTTTCAGTATGTAAGAGGCAAATTATATCATCCTTTACATATATTTCATTGTATAATTATGTATATTATCCTTTTAACCACACGCCTGAGATACTTAAAGGAAAAGATTTTCACCTCATCTTTTGTTTGCAAGTAATACAACCTGGAGTAAGGCACCTATTATCAGTCTGCCACATTATTTCAAGACATTCTCTTCCTACCATGCTGAAAGCCCAAGTTTATTGGTAAAACAGAGGTTTGGTGCTTGCAATATTCCCTCTTTCTGGGTTTGAAATGTGCATCTTAGCTTTGCATCTAGGATAGGTGTCACCAGTGACTTAACTGACGGTGTATAGCTAATGATTCTTATCTGTATCTCCTGGTATGTTTCTAGCTTTGCCTGATAGATGATTTAAGCCAAAAACTACTACACAGAGGTCCAAAGTGTGTGTGTTTAGAGAAATGAACTCCTCCCTGTCCCCAAGAAGCCCAGTCCTGCAGCCAGTGTCCATTTGCCAGCAGCATTTGCATCTCACACTACGAGAGTCCACTGAAACTAAGATGGAAGAGTTGCTTAGGCTGCCTCAAATTAATCTGAAATATCAGGTGAAATATATCTGGGATTATCAAGGGTTGGTGGAGAAATTCTTCACAAATGGTCTTCAAGACATCACCGGTGGGAATGATGTAGGAAAGGTAGAGGTATGGCACTTTTTGTCAGAAGCAGTGGGAACAAGGCAAAAGGAGAAGAGATTCCCTGATATCAAATCCAAGCAAGCAATCCAGGATAAAACAAGGCAATATGGTACATTTGGGGAAAAAATAAATAATAAAAACAAACAAACAAGCAAACAAAACCATGCCTATTTTACAATAGTTATCATCCTGGGTTGTTACTACAGAGAACAAGCAATTGGCTTGACAATCCCAAACCGTATCCCTAGGGTACCCACCCGTTTTGTTTTTGAGGTACCTATCATCCAGTTACTGAATGAGAACCTGATGCTGCACAATGCTGCCTGCCAGCCCAGCACCGTGACTGCCCTGCTTTCCCTTGACCTCAGCTGGAGCAGGCACGCATTTCAAGTTGAAAATGCAGTTATCAGCCTTGCTCAATCAGGCCCTCTGTTTGGTTTGCTATTTTTAACAAATTGCCCCTGCATGCTGAGGTACACGGACACTGCAGCGTGCCTTATGTGTGCTCTTGACTCCTAAAAGTATTCATATTTAAGGACTTTTATTTTCCTTCTGTTCTGTAATCCCTCTGTAGCCAGACAGCTCAGCACCAGATGCCCTCAATTACTATCACATTGTTCTTTCAGTGGCTTTTGATTAGTAAGCATTAAATATCAGTTCTTCATGTGTACTTCAATGTAAGATACAATTCAATTGCTACCACTGCTGATTATTTAAAAGTACATGTAATAGTCATTATTAAAATGTGTGTTACATATTCACCATTAACCCTCCATGGTCTGATAAGCATCCCCAGTGTTTGCTTTGGTTGTAGCCCTAAGTGTGTTTTCTCTTCAAATGCAGGATTAAGCAGTGTATTAGTTTCACCTTATTTTTAGAGGATCACCAGTTTTGTTGTTTCCGTAGCTATGGAGCCCACGTAAGTAAACCATTGCCTTCCATTACCCAGCTGTTGGCCTAAGACCCTTCTGGCATCCCCATTATGTCCAGCTGTTAGGGTCAGATAATTTCGGGCACAAGTGTATTGCTGCCGTTCCCGGGGAGAGCCTCGAGGACATTTATCTTTTCTGAAGGAGTAACATGGGCCTCGCAGGCTCCATTTGATTTAGTTTCAAAGGATGCTGTCAACGCTGTGGAAGCCCTAATTTCAGAATATCCCATTCTGAAAGAGCTCTGTTCAGTAATTCAGATGGTCATAGGATTTTCCCCGAGAAGATGTGCCGGGGCTTGATGAGTAAATAAAAAAACAAAGCACACAGATCAGTATTTCCAGGGGACTTGACATATTTATGTAAAACAGACCTGTGCATGTTCACATGGAAGAAAAACAAACTCAGTGCTGTTGGCCAAATACTTGGCAGCGGCCAAAGTACCTTTCATAGTCAGGAAATACTTCAACTCTATGAAGTGTTGATGCAGAGGAGGGGCAGGAGTGTTGTGCCTCTCCTCCGGGTGCAGCTGGATGGGTACCTCTAGCATGTGGTTCTTCACACTTGGGCTCTACCACCCACTGCAGCTCTCTCCATCTCTTGGCTAGAGTGGGGAAGCCCCAGGCAATCCTGTGTCCAACTTAACGTTGTTGCATCCTATGTGGTGGGGAATGAAATGGTTCCTCTTGCCCCCATCAACGCCACTCCTGCTGGCTATCCCAAGCCCAAAGGTAACAGACCAAACCAAGACTGAAAACAGAACAATTTTTTCATACTGTATTTTTGCCTGTTTTATTTATACTTCGACTAGAAGAAGTCAGCATCATCAGGAAAGACAGCAAGCAGACTGTTTCATCCCATTGATAGTTTGATTTCTGAGGATTGGGTACTTTTGGTCTTGTACAACATGAAAGGATATGGGATTATTATTATTTTTTTTTTCATATTCCTGTAATACATTGTTACATGGCAATCTATGAGCTTTTTTATTACTTTTTATTTTTTTTTTTTGAAAAAAACCCACAACATTCTTCCTGGCTTTTTCTTTTATTTTTTTTTGTTACAAGCACTCACATACCTTGTTCTATAACATTAAATCAGATGGATCATGTCATAGATCAGCTAGGCTGGGATGAAGTACATTTTTTTATCTGCAATGCTGTTGTAAATATAAAGTGTTTTCTTCCTCTTTTCCACAGTTCTAGTGAAGCCACTACTTGAATGAGCAAAAAGGTACTAATGTAAGTTATTTTAATTGGATGACTGGCATGAGTAGTGATTACTTGTACTTACTCAAATATGAGCCTAACTTATCCAGAAAAGAAATGTTCTGGCTCTGCACAGTCTTTGCTAGAACGTGCATTCAAAACTGTTTTTTTTTTTTCAGGACCTTTTCATTCATCATAGTTCAGGATTGCCTTATTGGGTGGGTTCATTTTTTGAACTATACCTGCCTTGATTACACACAGTGACATAATTTTTCAGAAGGCATCTTTGAAGAGCAATTGGTGTTGGCTTAACTCTGCTCCTGTTGGTAGCTACAGAAATTATACCACTGATTTCAACTGGAGCAGAATTGAGTCAACTGTAAGTACTTCTGGAAATGTCACCCCATATTTTTAATCAATTGTATATAACTGCGGCAGTGAATACAAAAAAAAAAAAAAAAAGAGAGATAAATAATAATATTAAGCAAGTTCTGACTGCTTAAAAAATGAAAGATCCTGTTAAAATTAAAACCTGCTCTTTTTGTAAACAGGCAATACTGAGTAAGCAGGAATTCATGGTCCCATCTAGATGTTAATTGTATTTGAATATTGGAATGAGGATTGGTCACAGGCCTAAACACCTAAATACTTTAAAATATATTCATAAATAATCATTCTTTATACACCATAATTTTTCTTACTGCATGTCAAAAACATGGACTTCTGTATTCCATAAGAAAGAAAAATGAGGGATTATTTTTGCTTTTGGCACAAAAAAAGTAAAAATAAAGAACAAGCACCGCCCTTATGGGAGTGCATGGTACACTACCAAATTGGTCGTTATTTGCCCTAGCTTTTTCTTTTTTTTACAAAAGTCTTAAATATAGGTTAATATGTAAACACTGTGCACGCACTGGGAGTCTGATCCTGGCCTGTTGAAATCAATGGCAAATTTCCCATTACTTGCAGTAGTGCAAGATCAAGCTCCGAGTTGGTACGGTACGTACAAGCCTAAGGCATTGGGGAAGCCACGGATTCAGGGTCGCAAAAGCTCAGGTGCCCATTTCAAAACCAGCTGCTGGAGGAATCGGATGCAGTGCTGAAAACCTTCCTGCACATGTCGGAGTTCTCTTGATGGAGAGGGTATTCACAACCCTCCAACGGCTCTGCTGTCCCTTTCCTGGCGGTGTACCGTCTG